ACGTTCGACAGGTCAACTACGTGGAGTAAGACTATCAGGAAAGCCTCACCACCAAAAGTCAGTTGGAATCGCTTGTTGTTCATGCTTATTTGCAAAACTCCAGGAACGTGTGTGCGGTGACCTTTGATAACAGAGTGATTTACTTATTATAGCCCACCCACACTTGCATCAAGCTTAACACGTAGCTTTGAGACAATGTGATCTACTCGGCTTTACTCGGAGTACCAAACATCCTTTCGATAATTAAGTCAGTCAGCTACAATGTACAACTTCGTACGTATGTGCATCAGTCTCAGTTGGCACATTAGCACAGAGAGATCGAATAGTGCTAGAGGTAACAGAAATATTAGCAGTAATCAAAAAGATTACGATTCGATGATATTATTCAATAAGTATAATCCAATGAAATAAATTTAAAAACAGAGAAAGATAGAGATGATGAGGAATTCAGAAGATTAGATTTTAAGCGAACACAGAGAACGGATGCATCTGTACCATTGTAAACGATTATGAGCTATATCATTCGAAGTCTATAACAATCGGTTACTATTGTCTTGATGAGAGTTTGAAGTATGACAACTAAAACTTATACAGGTATGTCTCAGGTTTTAGCTTGTTTCTTTTGAATGATTAACTGACTGGTCAAGATCAGATAGGTGTATTCTTAATTTTATGGACACTTCAATCCTACCTTTGATTCTAAATCCATATGAATTATTTAAAAACAGTTTTATGATGAGCATTTCTAAGAATTTTCCGAAATTTATTTACTTAGGATAAAATGAGACAACCTTTACCATTGGCATAAAAGGAAATATTATTGTTGATCAGATTAAACAAATATAATTATACTACTAGAACATTCGCTCAAGTTTCGTTTGTTTGTGTTTAGAATAAGTCATGATTGGATCAATAAATCATTTCAAATTGACGAAACTTAAATAAACATCATTGACTTCACAGTTCAAATCAGCACCAAAAGTAGGCAAACACTAGAGATCGATTCGACATTTCGATAATTCTATGTATAAATAGAGTATTGTATGTAGTGATGTTTGAGTGAACAATATTCATAATTTCAAATATTTTGATACGTGACGTTAGCTCAACAATAAAAAATGGCAGATTTTAAAAAAATCAATTAAAATCATCTGAATAATTCCTTTACACAGTTTGTGATTCGATAAAGCGTCGACTTAATAATACTGTTTTGAAAATATATCAAGAATGAAAGTAAACCATTATTAAGGTGCTAAAACAAATGCATATATAGTTGTTATATCAAATTACGAATTACTGGTGGTTATAACAAAGAAACACTATGTGATAAAGTCCAGGGAATTCGTCACCGCTAAAAGTTGATATTATTGGTAGTATTATTAGAAATGGCTATGAATCAATTAGTCAGTTACAAGGCAGAACTTCGTATGTACGTACATCAGTCTCAATGGCCATACCGCCGCAAGTGTCAATTCGAATTCAGGAGTAGTAGAGATAGTAAAAGTATTAGCGGCAATCGAGATTAGGGTTTGCAGGTATTATTCAAAAAGTATAATTTAGTGAAATGAATTTCAAAAGAGAAAAACAAAGATGATGAAGAATTCAGAAGATTAGAATATGAGAGAAGACAAAGAGTGAACGCACCTGCGCCGTTGTAGGTGATTTTGAGCCATGTCATTCAAAGTCTCTAACCATCGGTTACGATTGCCTCGCAGACCCCAACTAGGTAATCTACACATACTAACATGGCTTAGTTCACTTGTCAGTGACTTCATGCATTTCTGCCATGTTTTGCTTTGGCAGCCACTAGCTTTCTTCCAACCTACCCCTACATCACAAAACATTGGTGGTTGGGCATTCGTAACACATGTTCCAACCACTACTACTTCATCAGTTTATTTGCCATTTTTAACTAGTACTGGTTTTGTAACATCAGCACTGCTTACTCGGTGGTCCCAGGATATAGGAGTAATGCTTCCAAGACACCTTGTATGGATGCATACTTAATTTGTCCAGTATGTTACCTGGTAAATTACTGTGATGGAGTTTCGTCCTCCAAGCTGGATGTTTTGGTTGTGGAGCTTCCATTGTTCTTCTGAACAACATCATCAGCACAAACTTCAGATGGGAGTAAAGTATTCGATTTTCTTCACGTTCAGAAGAACAATGAAAGCTCCACAACCAAAACATCCAGCTCAAGGATTGAAACTCCATCATAATCATGCTCCTGAGTTAAATTTTTTCTACCGTCTGATAGACTAGTGTGAGCGATATGTATGGTCATTTATCTGTTCATTCATCTGTTCACTTTATAAGTTCCTAAAAGAATAAATACAACATCCAAACTAATTTCAGTAAACAATACGGGTAATATTAGTGTTTCATCCTTTACCAACCTCATAACATTTATTAAAATATACAAAGTAACTTCAAATAGTTCGAAATGACTTTTTGAAATAGCCAAAATCATACGGAAAACCATAGAACAATGGATGCAGTCGATATTAGGAAGTGTAGATTGTATAAATAATAAAACTTTTGCAAATTGAATGATGACAATTGCAATAAAAAATGGATGATCATTCAAAAAATGAAACACATACATTAACATGTCTTAAAAAGACGATAGGAATGACGTGCAAAGCACTATGACTGGTCATAAAGATGTTTTTAATGAACTTTCGACAGAAATTACGTGATGACTTGAATGAGAATACGCAGTAGTTTAGTTTCGTAAAAAAGTGAAAATGAAATACTCTAGATTTCTTATAATTAAATTATACACATTATTCTGCATACACTTACGATGAATTTGAATGCTCTTAAACAATGTGATTCTCTAAGATCAGATTTTAATATTACGTAAAACAGCATAGGATTCTTCAGCAGTACATATCCACAACCTCGTATCAGGAGATCGAACACAAGATCTACAGTTTCGGTCACGAACGCCTGGCCTATACACTCGTGAGCTAGCATCCATTAGTATCAATATCTAGCTTCAGTTATTCGGTGCAGGGTCGTGGATTCGCATTACCGACGAGTCTCATACCAGGACGATACGGCTGGTTAATGCTTTCTGGTTTTCAATAGTGGTCTAGCTAATATCAGTTGGTGATTTCAAATGGCAAGACAGGATTTCTTTAGAGCTTGATAAAATACAGACGTTGCCATAGAAATCAAATAAATAATAATTATTACATACAATAGATTGGATAACATAATAAGACAGATTTTGGAAAATCAGAAGAAAGGATGGGGAGACGGAAAAAATCAGAAATAGATTAGTCGCATGAAATACAGGTGATTTGCAAGACCTAGAGCTTATCCCTTGACTTATTAGTTAACACAATTAAACTAAAATACACTAATCCCAAAGTTACTGAGAGTGAAGTGGTTAATAAAAGACATCGTTCCCACTCTTGTCTTAGGTATTAATGAGCGTTTCCCACTTAGTAATAAGGCCACTCTTCGCCATTTGCCAAGGCCTTATCTTAACTTATTTTTCCACTTACTAGATAGGGCAAAAGGATCCAGTGATCAACGAATTGCGCTTTCAGAACAAGCTAATAAAGCTACGAGTTAGAGTTCGCATCCCAAGATTGAAGTTATGTTCATAATTTTATAAGAAAGAATTACACTACTTGTTATCACCAAGTAATATCACCACCGACTACTACCCGGTAATGCAAATTACTTCGATGTCATCGTAATGCCTTTTACATATGGGAGAAATGTTATGGTTTAGCAATTACAGTAATGGAAACTTTATAATTTTTAGCCGGCATATTTTCCAGTTTTTTGAAATCGAACTTTCCCAAAACTATGTCGTGTAAACCGATATTCAACCGAACTCATCAAATAACATATTGTTCCAAAGAAGTTGCTAATCTAAAAAACTAAAATTTGAAACTGTCCGTGCAGAACTAATCATATAAGGATCGCAATTAGGCAAGCCTGTTATTGTATCTTCGAACGTAACTTCGCATAGTTGAGCGAAGGACAGTTAGGAATTATTAAGAACTTTATTTATCCTGACTTAATTGATATATAACACCAGGTGGACTTGAATAGCGTTTCAATTTACCAACCGTATACCAATAAATAAGCCACATGGCTTTATCTGTTCGTCTTTTGTCTATTGCCCAAAATATCGACATTCATAACCGTAGATCAACCCTCCGATTTCAGGACAGAGTTGTACGACCTCTTTGTCTAACTAGCTATTGAGATTCGATATACGGAGGCGATTGAAGAAAGATCTACCTTCCACTTCTAAATAATTTTAAGACTTATCTTTTGACTCCTGTACGAGATTTGACTTATCGCTGATCTTCTGACTAAATATCAAGTGATCTATCAACCCTTTAACTGTTTAACTTCATACAATTTTCCCCATTCATAAATCTGAATAAAGCAAGAACAATTTCATTGATTAATAAATACTTTGGTTTGTGAAATTGTCCTATCTCTCTTTTTCCTTCAAATACTTGGTTAATCATAAATATAATACACAACTCGCTTCTCGCAGAACTTTGCTGTAAGCGGACCCAAAATACCGTTTTCTTCTAGGCAAATCACCGAAACCCCGAGACGTTTATCCATTTAATTTCCTCTTCGTACTATACATTGTATCAGTTCTAGCGTTTCTAGTTAACCGAACTTTTCAATTACACATCGTGTTGAATCGATTTATACAATAATCCAGTACGTGGGCATCCCTAAGTTAGTAAAATAAATCCTCAGAACCAATAATAGCTAATCCAATTAGTGTTCAACAGTGGATGACCAGTTCTCCAATATTGATAAAACTGGTTGAAAATACACGGTAGAACACTCACTATTTAACGTTTCATGTACACTGCTTGTACACACTGTCTACCTAGCTAGTTTATCCACTTTTTTTGCTGTTTTTAAAGCCCTGAAAGGAGTTAAATGGCTACGAAGATGTGAGGTACATGAACATAGTGGATGCAATCAATTTTGTTGAGTTGAATCACGAAATTTATTAATCTACATATTTTGTTTACTGAGTAATTAAATTAAAATGGGTTGCATTTTATCAAATCAAACAACTAGCTTTAAATTAATAAGGTTAAAGGATTGGAACTACCTCATTACAGTCAAGCTATACTCCTAACCAATATAAAAAAGGTGGGATTCTTAGTACATTGAAGGTACTGATTACACCATTTGTACTGCACATTTATTCAAATTAAAAAAAAAAGCACCTGGAAAAATGAAAATTAACATTTTATTACTAGTTCATTTTTATATATACAAAAATGAATAAAATAAAAGTTTTCTCAATTAAGAATTATTATCATTATCATTGTTGACTAGATGAATCCGTACGACGTTTTTTAGTCTTAGTATGAGCGGATTTCCACAAGGCATGTTTTACAAATCTTGTTGTAGCTTCTTTGTCCAATTTCAAACGTGCAGAACTTTTTTTCTCTACTAGCGATCTACATCTTTTCAATGCATTCATTACACGATCCTTGATTACACATGCAGAAAACAAAAAAAAATAAATAACGTACAATAACAGACAAATAATGCGTTTGAAGAAAAAGGCCAGTCTAGACATGTAATGCTTCCACTTTATTTGCCGATTGATATTCTCAGACTAGTGATTCAGAATATTATCAGTTAACAAACAATGAATCACAGGTTTATAGATGTTTAAATTTTTTGTCATGCTTAATGTTTTGGAAGTCATACAAACCCTTGGTATAGATTCAGAAAGCTCCCTTTCATTACTAATGGTGTAGACAATAAGTCCATCTGGAAACCAAGGGGGAGTATACTGTACACTAGTTCTTTCTGCCTTACTTTATGACTATGAAACATGGCCTTTAGTAGTACATGATATTTGTATATGGTACTTGATCACATGCGTATTTGAAAAATTAATGTTAATGAATGAGCAATGTTTACACGAGACATGGCATCAGGCAGAGATACTAAGTTAGTTGATAGGTTTTTCAAACTTCTTTAAATGAGATGGCTAGGATATTTGTTACGTATGTTAAGCCACCATCTAACTCGACGCTAAATGTTGACTGGAGTAAGAATACGTTTAAAAAAACTAGAGGTCAAAACAAAATGCGACACTAACCCAAGAAGCTTAGTTTGGTCTATCTTAATATCATTAGTACTAATCTTTTTAACACTTTAGTTATCCTTCTTAATTTCATCTCATTATGTTGATGTAATATGGAAATTTGGGCTGACTCATTAGCATGTGACTGAGTATGTCCCATACTGTGTTAATCATAACCAACTGGACTATATTTATTCAATATTTTGAACAGTTTATATGGGTTTTAAGACTTAAGAGTGTGAAATATTAGCCAAAACCATGTAAATAAGTTTGGACTTGGTTAGTAGGCTACATTTGTGTTTTTCTGAGTCAAGTGGGTAGTGAGTTTACTGGAAAAAAGTAGTATATTGTTGAGGGCTGCTAGTACGTATTTTTGTTGCACGTAAAACCTATTACAGAGAAGCGGAAATCATGAAGGGTGAAATAATGAAGATAAAACATGTCTTTGGACTGTCGTTTCATGGTAAGGTTTGTATTCCCTTGGTAAAATGCGATTCGCCTTAATGGGTTAAAAGTATTTCCAAACTGAGAGTAGGACATGTGAATAAACATAATGCATAAATAATGATAAAAAAAACACCATGCTATGTAATGTAGGTGATTTTTAGTCCTAGTGGACACCCACTACTAACTATTCACTTATCTAAACTCATGTATTGTTATAGACCTAGCAGTATGTTCGGCTACCTGGGCACTGATAAGAGGTTAGTCCTTGTAACTTGAGAATAGAATAAGTTTGGAAAAGTTAATGAGGTTGAGAATGGTTGTCTTGGTTTCTAGCTACTTGTTTAAAAAACTAATACTAATTTTTTAATTCGCCTGCTAACCTTAGATTTTTGTACTTGGCTTCAAGTCACACTTAATGTATGAGTGATAGTGATACTATACAATTGCTCAAACCGTAACCGGTGAAACAGGATACATAGTAGTTGGAAGTAAAACACCATAATCAATAAGCGATCGCTCTACTGAAACCTACCTAGAGATCTTAAAGGTTACCTTGATTTTTGATACATGGTGATACTGTGACATATGCTTTCCTTCTGTCGACTGTATTTTGTTACTCTGCAGTCTTGAAACTGGGGTTACTGAATTTATCACAGGATATCAAACATCAACATTGCAAGCGCTGGCATGAATATGTATTGACTTAAGTCACAACAGTTTATATCATTATAGCAAGGTGAAATTAAGGAGAACAAGTGTATGGCAAGCAATCAACAAATGTAAAAGAAAACCAAACGCAGGATGAAAGATACGGAATACTAGGATATTCAAGAGTAAGAAGAGTAGTTTTAGGATAGATATAATTATGTCAATCCAACAGATTCTTAGGCAAACTTCTTAATCCTCAATTACGGTTGCTTGTAGATTCCTTTTCGACAGTTTGCATCATATACAAATTTATATATATTAGGAAGCGAATAAATATTTAGACTACTTAAGTTAACCCTTTTTCTTTTCTCGAACAAGCATCACAAGAATAAAATGCTAAAATAGTAAATACAAGAATATTTTGAAAGGTATTTTTAAATAGTGAAACTGTGTTCGGTCAGCCTACTCAGAGTCAAAGAGCAACCCGAAAGCCTATTTCATTATTACAACGTAACAACGAATGCCTTCTATAAAAATAGTGTTTGTAAACAGTCAATAGATATTGAATCGACGATTCCAATCGACGACAATGAAATGATGACATCCTTTAACGTAACAGCCTTATTCACCTCAATATAGCCAAGCTTAGCTAAAGAAACTATCCCTGCTCCTCACCAATGACGCAAACCTTCAAAAAATATACGAAACTCCAGAGTCAAAGTCTCTTAGAACTCATTGATTTATGCTTAACAACGTATGTCTAATTCAACAACAAACAAATGGAACACCAATGGGATCACTGATATCAGGACTCATCGCGGAAGCTGTAATGCAGAGACTAGAAGCGTTAGTTTTACCAGTGATCAAACTAAAAATGTGGATTCGCTATGTAGACGACACATTCGTCATTATCAAAAGGAACGAGCTGGAGAACATCTATAATCGAATCAACGTATTTTATGACATAAAATTCACAATCGAAAATAAATCAAACAACAATCTATTATTCCTGGATGTACTAATCATCGGAACTGACACAGGGAAACTGGAAACCCAGGTATTTCGGAAGCCAAACCATACAGACCTCATTCTCAACTACAATAGCAACAACCCAAGAACTCACAGAATCGACTGCGTACAAACGTTGTTCAAGAGAGCGAAGACACGCTGCAGCACAAAAAAACGAAGAAATATATCTAATGACCAACTTCCAAAAGAACGACTATCCACGTAACTTCATCAAAAAACACCAAACGAAACCGTCAACGGAAGCAAAATCAAGTGCAGGAATCAATAAACGGATCATTCTACCATGCATAAAAGACATAACGCAACACACGGCACGACTACGGAGATCATTTGGAATAGGTATAGCACACAAGCCAACAGAATTACTTCAATCAATCCTATGTAGACCAAAGGACAAAATGACAAAGGAAGAAAAACCAAAAATTATCTACAAAATAAATTGCTCAGATTGTGAAGAACACTACATAGGACAAAGTGGACGTCCCCTCTCCAGCTTCATTTACATGAACACTAATTGGCAGTCAAACGCCACGACAACGCTCCGCTTATATCAATACACACCGACAATTATGGACATACAATCGATTGGAACAATGCGAAAATACTGGATAGGGGGAGGACAAAGAACACTAGAGAATTTTTAGAAGCTTGGCACTCAGGTCAATCGGGTATTAACAAACACATCGACATAGACCCAAGTTATCAGCCAATCAGAAAAATCATAAACAAACATAGGATCAAGAAACAGATCAAAGGGGATACAACCAAAATAAAGGTGCAAACAACGACAGGTTTAAGGTCAATAACAACCAATCAAGAGCGAGGTTAACGGAACCAGCTATGAGTAAAACGTGGAGAAATTCGAATACTTCATTTCCATCTGAAGTTTGTGCTGATGATATTGTTCAGAAGAACAATGAAAGCTCCACAACCGCGAAATCCAGCTCGGAGAACGAAACCACCACAATCATCCACCTGAGCCACAAATTTTCCCCACCATCTCAACACTACTGATTATCATGAAAGAATAAATATAGTAAATACTAAAACAACAATCTTACCAACTCCTGCATAATAGGATGGCTTTGAGTTTCCACACCGCTGCACCTAAGATACACTTGAAGAGAATTATTAAAAACATATTCTTACTGAATTACTGAAAAATAGAGCATTGAATGTGTAGCATAAAGACAGATCCGTTTTGATAGAGTCCAAATCACTGATCTAAATCATATTTTAATCAGTGAATTTCAACAGTATTACCTCATTATTAGAATCATTCGGAAAGTTACTAATTTTGTTTACAAGCTGTTCAACATCATCAGTAGCTTCTGAGAAAGATACTAACTGAGCGCTTATTTCCTCAGGGATTTCATCGAAAATACTACTGTCAGTCATTCTAGATAGTACTACGTCGTGGAGGCTAAAATGTGAAAAATGATAGTGAGTAGCGTTTGACAAAATAACTTATCAAATCAATACTTGCCTTATGATTTAGACAAGTAACTCGTTCGGTTTACAGGTTCTGATTTGTGTCAGTCAGCTGAAACGCAGAACTTCGTACGCATATGTATCAATTCAAGTTGACACATCACATTAACACAGAGACGCGTAGAAGTATTAGCTGTAATCGGAAAGATTAGGGTTCGAGGATATCATTCAAGTACAATTCAGTGAAATAAATTTAAAAGGAATTAGAAAAGGTCCTGACCTCATGAGAGAAGAAAAATAATGGATGCATCTGCGCCATTGCAAACGATTTTGAGCCATGTCATTCAAAGTCTCTAACCATCGGTTACGATTGCTTCGCTGACCACAACTACGTAGTCGACACCTACTAAAATAGCTTATTCCACTTGTCAGTGACTTCATGGATTTATGCCATGTTTTGCTTTGGCAGCCACTAGCTTTCTTCCAACCTACACACCTACACCACAAGGTATAGCTCGTCGTGGCAATCGGTGGTTGGACATACGTAACACATGTCCCAAAAACCTTAACTGATGAAGTTTCATTAATTCATTTGTTGATCTGCCATCTCTACCTAGTACTCGTTTCGTAACATCAGCATTGCTTACTCAGTGGTCCCACGTCCCATACTAGTACAGTAGGACGAAGCGAACTGATGCACAGTAAACTCGACGGACGCCTACGCCTAAGTGACGCAAGTTGGCAAAAGCCAGTCGAACTTTCTGTATCCGTATTGAGATTTCGTCAGTCACCAGGCCATCAGAACTGATCAGACTCCCAAAATCAATGAAGTGGTCCACACGCTCAACCACTTTACACCTTATCACTAGTTTAAACACCAACGCAAGCTAGTCCTGAAGCAGTATTTTGCACTTCGAGAGAGAGAAACGCATCTCAAACATGCTTGCATTGTTTTTTGAGGTAGTTAGAAGACTGCGTTTCGTCAGCGTCTTCACCAGACAGAACTATGTCATCGGTATCCTGTAAGTCAATAAGTGAGTCTCCTGTTAGAAGTTCAATTCCTTAAAAGTCATATGATGAAAGTGCTGTACCTAAAAGTAAGTCAATGACGAGGTTGAATACGAATGTAGAATGTGGGCAACCATGATGAACACCACTCAATGTAATCAATTCCGATAATACTTCGCCATAAGCTATGACTTGTCCAGTAGTGTTCGAGTAGAGAGCCTGTACAACGCTAATGTGCTTCTTTGATACACCTTTTAATAGGTTAAGGCTGCGTGTAAATGACCCAGCAAGCTGATTCCATTCCCGACCGTAGCTGCTACCTTGACGTGGCGGTCGGGCTTGCCTATCGTGATGACCCAACCGAGCTATATTGGCTGGAACATATGTTCCTGTAGGTTCTACCATGCCAGACAGGTCGATTGGAGAGCGATGAGACTAAAAGCAGCTACTCAAGGTCTGAGGGCGAAGCCGTACTGCTGACTGCAGAGGGATGTAACAGCAGTAAGGTGTTTCCCTCGGACAACCAGCATCTGCAGCGATGCTGCCTTCTCACAAGGAAGGAAGGGTCAGAAAATTTCGACATTAAAATTGTCACACCTCGCCTTACCTCACGGATTTCCGTCTCCGGTGTTAAGGCCTTTTAAACAAGAGCGGAGATAACGCTTTAAATACTACCCATGAAAAGGCCGTGCATGACATGGCGTAGACGAGATATCTGTTTGCTGACTAAGGGACGAGTGTACTGCGCAGTAGTTCGCTCCGTCTTACTTTATGGCTGTGAAACATGGCCAGTGAGAGTAGACGATATTCGTCAGTTACTGGTTTTCGATCATAGGTGTCTTCGAAGCACTGCTCGAGTATCGTGACACAGCCGAGTAGTGAAGTGGTGAAACTTCATCAGTTGAGGTGGTTGGGAGATGTGTTACGTATGCCTAACCACCGACTGCCTCGAAGAGCTTTGTTTTGTAGTGTAGGAGTAGGTTGGAAGAAAGCTAGGGGTGGCCAGACCAAAACATGGCACAAATTCATGAAGTCACTGACAAGTGGACTGAGTCATGTCGGTAGGTGTCGACTAGCTGGTTGGGGTCCGCGAGATGATAATAATCGATGGTTAGAGACCCTGAATGACATGGCCTAAAAGCGCTTGCAATGGCGCAGGTGCATTTACTCTTTGTTTTCTATGAAATTCTAACCTGGATTCCTCATCACCTCTTTCTCTTTCTAAATTTACCTCACTGAATTATACTTCTAGAATAACATTTTCGGACCCTAATCTCTCCGATTACTTCTAATACTTTTACTACCTCTACTAATATGGGATTGATGCATAGTTATACTAGATTCATTTTTATTACCAATCGACTATATAAGACAGACAGACAGACAGATACAATGCAGAACTTCGTACATAAGTACATCAGTTCAGGTTGCCATACCACATCAGCAGAGAGTCAGTCAGTCAGTCAGTTGCAACGTAGAACTTCGTACGTATGTACATAAGTTCATGTTGCCATACCACATTATTAGCACAGGGACGCAAATGTCAAATCAAATCCCATAGTGATAAAGATAGTAGAGGTATTAATGTTATAATAAAGAAGACTAGGGTTTAAGATATTATTCAAAAAATATAATTCAGTGAGATAAGGTTAGAAAGACAAAGGTAGTGGTGCTGGCTAATCCAGAAGATTAGGATTTGAGAGAGCTCAAAGAGTGGATGCACCTGCGCCATTGCAAACGATTTTGAGCCATGTCGTTCAAGGTCTCTAACCATTGATGACTTTCGTCTCGCGGACCCCAACCAGGTAGTCTACATCTACCAACATGACTCAGTCCACTTGTCAGTGACTTCATGGATTTCTGCCATGTTTTGGTCTGGCCGCCCCTAGCTTTCTTCCAACCTACTCCTACACCACAAAACATAGCTCGTCGAGGCAGTCGGTGGTCAGGCATACGTAACACATGTCCCAACCACCTCAACTGATGAAGTTTCACCACTTCATCGATTGATCTGCCATCCTTACCTAGTACTCGTTTCCTAACGACAGCATTGCTTACTCGGCTGTCCCACGATATACGAGCAATGTTTCTTAAACATCTATGATCGAATACTAGTAACCTACGAACATCTTCTACTCTTAACGGCCATGTTTCACAGCCATATAAGAGAACGGAACGAACTGCTGCGCAGTACACCCGCCCTTTGGTTAGCGAACGGATATCACGCCTACGCCATAAGTGACGCAGGTTGGCAAAAGCCAATCGAGCTTTCTGTATCCGAGCTGAGATTTCGTCAGTCACCAGACCGTCAGCACTGATGAGACTACCACATCAGCAGAGACGTAACTGTCAGTACAAATTCAAGAGTGATAGCGACAGTAGAACTATTAGCAGCAATGGAGATCAGGGAGTGAAGATATGATTCGAAAAGTATAATTCAGTGAGATAAATGTAGGAGATAGATAGAGACTATGAGGACTATATAAGAAATAAATGGCTTTTAACATTACCACTGATTAACTGATTAGCTAGTTATAGATTTGTGTACTTAACTACGATTCACCCTATTTGTATCTAGAGATAACACTGATTTGTCAAAACTGAAGTAGATGGCACAAGGATCAAACCTTGGACCCACAGGCTGAAAATCGTATGCCTAAATCAGAGTTAAGGCATAATAATATCTGAGTCCCTGTTAGCCATCAACTAGTTTCCTCTTGCTCCCTAAATTTGATTCCATCTCCTTCATGGTAGGTCCTAACTTACCATTTTGAACAATTAATCGTGATTATCGAAGTGGGCAAATATAATGCCAATATTAAAGGAACAATTCACAAACGAAAAATCATTACTGATATTTGAGAATAAATTATGAGGCAGATGAATAGATTTGCATACTTAGATCATAATACGTTCACCTAGGTTGCCCTATCACTATAAAAATAAAAAACATTGCAACAACTGCACAGAAGGCCAGAAACTAGAAAAGTATTATTACTCGGATTTTATTTTCACGATTGCGAAGATAGAACTTTACACTCAAATCGCATCTAAACAATTTTAACGGTAGTGAATTTATAAGAATCTGACAAGCTGATAAAAAGGCGTTGTAGTTAGTGCTTACTTAAATATGGAATAAAGTAAGCCAAAACCAATAACTACATGTTAGATTCCATTTCGTTAAGGCATTTCACTTTCCAAAAACCGATAGCGCTGATGCGTGTGTTCAATTACTCAAATGGATATAAATATACGAACATCAACGTGCAGTGTACAAAACAGAAACTACCGAAACACCCAACCCAGGAATCCTCAAGGCTACATGTGCAAATTTAAATGATGTGCTCTGAGCTAGGATCAATCTAAAATATTGAAAGCTGAGTTTGCTTAAATTCTCCTTATGATCTTTATTATTCAGGAAAGCCATGATCTTGAGAGTAGATAATTATGGTGACTCATTTATCCCATGACAGAAACTTTAAACTTGAGACATTAATCTAGGTCACCGATATGTTAGTGCATCGTGTGGATTACCTTAAGCCTAAGACAAACTACTACTCCGACTCACCGTCTGAACCTTGGCCGCTGAATTTTCGCAGTTTGTTGCTTTATGGGCTAGCACTGTCCGTTTGATAACCAATGTGCACTATCAATAAAGACTGTTATTTTTACTTACTGAATTAGATATATAGTTTCGGTCGTTTATTAAACATAGGCTACTATTTACAATTTGAGTGAACTAATCTCCATGAGAGTAACACCGAAAGTATTGTGCTGCAAAACTTAATTCCACTATTTTTGCCTAATTATTTTGGGTTCATTACTTAGTCTCCAAGTGCCTGATGTTTGATTTCGGGAAAATATAATACACGCACGGAAGGCTTGAAAAAATATAATGCCTCAGTTACCAGAGAACCCTTCCGAACAACATGCAAAACGAGCAACGAGGTACCACTGAGACTCCCGATGTCATATTGAACCATTATGAGGACGATGTCACAAACCTCGATTATGTGCCGCCCCTTTCATGAGACTGAACTTACAGTTCTAGCCTTTGATTTCTTTATCGTTATCAACGACAATGTGTTGGTTGAAGATAGACCGAACGTTTGAGAAGTAATAATGAAGGGAATCGCACACTCATTGCCCTAGTCGGTTGAGAAGTATAACCAGAATACCACATAAAGCTTACTATGCTGCACTTTCCTTGTACCAAATCTAAGAACCCAAACAGCTCCGTATTTTAGGTATTTCTCATTCGTCAACACATACGTCAGCTCCCCTGTAGTGAAAATCTTGACCTACCCAAACAATTTCAACTCACCTACTGGTCGATATTTGAATGCTGTTACTGGATACGAATTCCTAGTCATCCTTTGTGAAACCATGTATGCCAGTCGAACTGGCCCCATTCAACACTCGCACACTAATGAAGGTCGGATGGCAGATGGAGTCAGCTGTCTTTGGAAAGTCTGTACAGCGATATTTGTTGTCTATTTAAGATCAGCGTTCGTGAGTCTGGTGACGAACCACACATTCGCTCTATATCTGTCACTTCGAAATTCTTTTCTTGTGGGCACTTACCCTAGGACCTTGTGGCATCTTTGCTTGCTGGTATTGACATCAGACCGAGCTGAAGATCTCAGGTGGCACTGACCTATCATACCTCCATTAAAAGTTGCTTATGTGATATTACATAAGAAATCTACCAAAATGTAAGAAATCGATATAGAAAACGATTTGCTTTCGATATCCCTACCCACGCTCCAACGGGCTGAGGTCAGGATGCAATGAAGAGTGAGTTCTACCACCAGCTAAATGATTTCTTCCAGAAACTACAATACAAAATTATTAGGGTCCTCCTTATCAAAAACTATGATTGATCTCTAGCAATCGAGCCTACAGTGATAATGTTCACTTTACCCATTCTGAAACGCTGACTGAAAATTACACCACTGATAAGTATTTATTCTTTTGGTTCATTTTCCGATCAAAATTGTGCTCTAATATAAAAAACGCCCCTAAATGCATGGATAAAAATTCAGTTTTGCTAATGTCGGTGAAATCAATGTGCATGAAAACATCAAATTTAACTTGAGTCACTTCAGTAGAACATAAGTGCTTAAAAATAAGAAAGGTCAGTAACATTTGAGAATGGCTTCACGTTTATCTGGCTATCGTGATCATGTAGCTTAGCTTAAGCACTGACAAAGTCACACCAAGAAAAAATCCATCCACTGGGATATTGAGGATGGATTAAAAGGGATGAATTATGAAAACATATTCACCTCACAAACGGTTATAATTAATCTTGGTAGCAAAGACAAGTTTTAACAAGTCACTTCAAGGAACTATGATTGTCCTGAAACAAAGTGGGAACCATGATGAGATAGTCAGTTAACTGATTCACTGCTCAATGCAATCTCAAAGCGGTGGAAGAGTGCTAGGAGTTCATTAGTCTCCAAATAGTAGCATTAAAGTGTCACCTATATTATGGCCTGACTAGTGTGGGAAATAAAAGAAGAAAACTAATCGGTCTAAACTCAGTTCATTACGAAGGTATCGCTAATTAGTGTTGGGAATTCTATTTTCTTATAATTTTTCCCCTTAACTAGCTTTAGAAGCTGTAATTCACTTCTACCAATGCACAACACTGAAAGTGTAACTCACACTATTGTACATTCACCAAATGAAAGTCAAATAGTTCTCCGTAGAATACCTTATGACTAGTGAAAGATCCACTGAGTAGCCGGTTAGCAGTCTGTAACCATTGTTGACTAAACTGTTGCACTGTTAATACGACTTCTGTTTTACGAATAAATTGGTTTGTATAAATCTGTGTCGAGATACAACCCCTGTAGTTGGATTTTCTACCGTAGCAGTTCAATTCGATTCCAACAGACGTATGTCGAACGCACCTTCCCTCAGTCGAATATCAAAACACAATAATCCTAGGAGAAAGTGGTCTATTTATATAAAAGAAATGGAAATACACACATTTACCTGACAATTATTACGTCTTCCAAGTCGAAATTACTCTGATGAGTATCCGAGTTCAAAAGATTAGGTGAAGCTAGTATACTGCGACGATATCAAATCCGAATATGGCTGCAGCCATATTATACATCAAATTTAAACAACATGTGTACAGTTCAGAAGCAAACATAAAAACTTCAATATAAATACAAAATATAGAAATAATAACAATATACAATGATAAAATCTCAAAATGGAGACAAATAGAGTACCAAAATTTCAACAGAAAGAGTCAGTCATATCATAACACAAATATATAAACATGGAGGGATTTTCCAAAAAACAAAACATTCAAAAAAGATTCTACAACCCCTTCATGCCGATGATGTGATATTTTTAAGGGAAATTCGCATTTAGAATAATTCACTCTAGGACAGGGATACTACCTAAAATATGAACCAATAAAATAACTTTTAAATCCCCGAAATCGTAAAGTAGTTCATCTGTACTTCACGTAAACAACGGCCTTTTACTAAGTATCTGAAGGTATAGCGAAAACACATTCTTAGAATAAATTTCAAATCCTGTACTTATAGCAAAATATAAACTGAACTAAAGTAGTCTCCCATGGCTTTATTCAAAACGCCTGTGACCATCTGAAACAACCTAAGTGATAAGTTTAGATCCTAGTGTTATGGGTCCAACTGAGAAAATTTGTCCACAACTTGAATTATGAAGACCTAGCTATGTGACAATCTATCTAGCTACTTGACATCAGTGGATTTATTTTCCTCCAACAATACAGTTTTGAGAAGGGCCCCTCCCATATAAAAAACTGTTGGCTGAGGTGGGTAGAATAACAACCATGCTTAATCGTGAGGAGAAGGTCGACATGATATACCTTCGTTTCTCACAAGCTTTTAAGACGATTGATCATACATAAGTAATCAGTAAGCCAAAAATGATAGGTCTAAAACAACACTTTAAAGACTGCCTTATTCCATGTCTAAATAGCAATATTTCTAAGGTCAGGGTGAATTGTGCTTTTTCTCGGGCTTCACGATGTCCTAATGGGCCTCCCAGAGGACAATGCCAAGACATCTCGTCTTCGTCCTCAGTAAATAACGTCCGATTCATCAAGTTTTACTAATGATACTTAAGAGAGAGCTTGGCATACAGAATGATAAGCTGACGCTTCAGGAGGATCGGACTCAACTGAAAAGTTGGGTAGCTAACAATAGGCTTACTTTTAACATTTCAATGCGCAAAATAATTCACATGAGATGTGCTGCAAACTACGAATACAATTTAGTTGGCTCCTCTCAAGAAGTACCCTTATTTAAAAGATATCTGGGAGTTTCGGAACCCCAAAATCTTACAACTTACTTACTTACTTTCGCCTGTTACCCCCAATGGAGCATAGGCCGCCCACCAGTTTTCTCCAAACAACTCTGTCCTGGGCTTCTTCCTCCAGTTCTGTCCAATGTTTGTTCATTCCTCTCATTTCTTTCTCTATTTCACGGCGTAATGTATTCTTTGGCCTTCCTCTTTTCCTTTTGCCTTGAGGGTTCCATGTGAGGGCTTGTCTCGTGACGCAGTTAGGTGCTTTTCGTAGAGTGTGTCCTATCCACTTCCACCGCTTCTTCCTGATTTCCTCTTCCACTGGAATCTGACTTGTTCTCTCCCACAGTTCGTTGTTGCTGATGGTGTCTGGCCAACGAATACGAAGTATTTTACGTAGACAGCTGTTAATAAACACTTGTATCCTCTGGATGATGGCTTTAGTAGTTCTCCATGTTTCCGCTCCATACATTAGAACTGTCTTGACATTTGTATTGAAAATCCTTATTTTGGTGTTGATTGATATCTGTTTGGAGTTCCAGATATTTTTCAACTGTAGAAATGCAGCCCTTGCTTTGCCAATCCGTGCCCTCACGGATTGGCAAAGCAAGGGCTGCATATCTGGAACTCCAAAATCTTACAACAGCTGTACGAAAATGCCTTTCGAGGAAACCTTTCACCATTCATTTTAAAGAGCATTTTTTTCTAGGGTGACAGTTGAACATTCTATCTTATCTCCAACAGCTCTACTCGATGTCATTTATAGTATGGAATTATGGTGTTTTCACCTCACAGAGAAGGGATAAGAAAACATTGGAATATATCCAAAGATGATCCGTTAAATCAGTTACTGTTGCGATTCATATCACTGGATCTTTATCCATCAGAGTTTAGGCGTTTCCGAAGCTACCTTCTAATGATTTGTTGCGTTTTAAATTTTCCTGAGAATACCTTAAAATACTTGTCCCAAAAAAATTTCAGGGTCCATTTCCAGAAGTTAGAAGCTCAGTATAAGCACACATACTTCTCTTACCCGAATTATGAAATGCGCTATCAAAATAGATGGTCAAGACGATTTCTCAGGAGACCTAGAGAACTTTTTTTCAGGACTCGAAATAGTATTTCGTGATAATGTGTAAATGTTTATCTTTTGCTAGTCGACTATACATGGGTTACTGTCAGGATTTATTGGTGACCCACTAATATTAGATATCGAAGACTCCTGGTATTCCGTCCACAACAGTTGAAATATTTCAAACATGTAGCGGTAAAAAGATCCTCAAAACAAGTAGTTTTGTTAGTCTTCGACACTAGTTCCGAGCTCATAAAGTTTACTGGAGACACTCTGGATGAAGGTTTCTGGTCTGCCGTCCAAAATATGTCTTCTCATCGACTAGCAAACTTAGTTTAATGACCCTACCGATATCCCAAACATCATTCAAATATATCTTCGTTCCTCCTCATTCCTGTCTTCTGGCTTGATTCACCTTTGGGTATCTTCGAGCTGAAAGGTGTTACGGACAAAGCATTGTCCAACTATGATCATCTGTGAAATCCTCAAACCGTTTGAGAGTAGTCCTTATTACCCTTAATACTCTCCGCATTGCAACTAACTGATCTCCGGTTTGGTAATGTGACGGCTGCTAGTATCCAGAAACCCTACTGCCCTGAAACAAACGTTTCATTCAAATTCCGAGACATACAAACTCACAACCAACTGCCAACTGACTAGAATTAGACAGTCGAGTGGCTAGACCTCCATCCATCAGACATTACCGAACACCTGGAACCGTACCGAAAGAACAAGAATCGAGCGTGAAGAAATCAAATTGGTTTACACTAGCTCCTGAAAAAGATATTGGATATTGGATAGTAAAGTCTCTGAATTAGGTACTGAGGGAAATTTTCCTAACAAGATATTCCTAGTGAGGATTCAGCAGAATATTTCAAGATTTATCATAATTTACTTTACCTACGCCCGGTTCACTTAAATTAGTCCGCACTTCGTGAAATTATTGATTGTTTCCTGGCACGGGAGCCATAACGATAAAACCTTCAATTTCGTCCACATTCATTTGACAGAATGGCTTTGTTTATCCTCACAGTCACTATTAAAAGCCGAAAACATGTCATTTTAGGATATCTTGCTCGTGACAATGTCATGCCTATCTAATTTGCATTTGATTGAAGTATTTTTCTAATTTACACAAAGTAGTAAATTGTCCCCCCAAGGCCTACTTTCTGAGGCGGGAATTCAAATTGGCGGTTTTATGTTCTCATGTGGGCAGTTGAGTACGATATAGGTTTAGAAGAAAGTTTGACTGGAGATGAGTTGTCATTACTCAATGAGTTTTATGGAAGAATGCTCAGTTGTCCTCTTAATATATGCCGGTCGAAACGCTATTTAGTTCGTTGGCTGCGCGCTCGCAGTTGGGATGTTGATGAAGCAGAAAAAATGCTGTATACTCATATAGAATGGAGAGATGTTCACAAAGTAATGCCCATTATTAAAATTTATTCGTACCATATTTACTCACTGATTACCTTCATTATTCGTGGTGTTTTTCACTAATCTTCAACGCATCTGTAGTTTGTACTTCAGATGAAGAAATAATGTCATTTGTTTAATCATGTCTCAAAACTTCTGAAAATAGCCTACACAAATTCCCGTAAACCCAACTGCGCTGCACTCGGTTCATGGATTTTACTGGGAGTTCGGAGTTTGAATAAGTATCAATTTCAAGCAGTGGTGTATGGACGAACTAATCAGACCTCAGTGGAATTTTATTCTCACTGTTATCATCAGTCATTTCATAAAAAGCTTTCCCTTGACTGAGACGGTTTAAGGTCGAACGTATGTTTTACTTCCACCCGTTATTGTTGTTACATAATGAACTTTGTCCACTACACCAAACACATGCACCTCAGTTACAACTATTATACCTTCATAAGTTTCAAAGGACTATTCATTTTTATGATAAACTATGTTTTTAGTGTGCCTTATGCATTAGTTTTCGCTGCCCTTTCAACGATGTCCATCGCTTGCTGCCAGTGATCAGTTTCTAATTACAGCGCTGGACTATATATATATATATATATAAGCTGTATTGAGAATCATTGCTTTCTTGATAACTTTGTCGGTATGTTTACACCTATTCGGTTGTAACCTCTAGTAGCTCTTGTTCACAATTATCGACTTCGTTAGTTACACCTAGTAAGCTAAGTTAAACTTCTGAAGATAAGTACGCAAGTGAAATGATTCACACACAGTTACTCTATTGTGTTTTCGACAGAAGGATTGGTGGTAAAACACCACACATAAACGAAGTACTCTTTGTAGCTACAATGTCTGTGAAAGCCCCTAAACTTAGTGAACCTCAGAACTAAGGTCCATAGTCACACCAAGCAGTCGCTCACTGAAGGTGTTTGAACTAGGTTTGATGGATGGCCATTGCTGTGGATACTAGTTTGAGCAGCTTTTCCGTTTATGCAGCTAGTGAAATTATAAGTAGCTAGTTTGGGTAACACATAACAGTAACCTCGATTGTGATTTTCGGACTGCTAGGCAGAAGACAGGAGCAGTCAGTTACGATGGGATTGATCCATCTGGCCTATGTCCTCCCCTAGATCGTTGTAGTTTTATTACCCTGTAGTCAAGCGTGTGCAATACTATATAGTATTATAGATATATTGAGGACTTTTTGGTAATTTTTAACTGCCTGTTCCTTTGTTCCACTTTAAGCTATGATATATTTGCTTGTTCAGTTTCCATGACTTAGTATACTTTTTTGTCAGCAAGTTTTGTTGGTATATGGTTGAATTCAATTCATTTCTCGTTATTTGTAGGTCGACACATTACTTGATTGGTATGAAGTTCCAGACGTTATACAAAAATACTTTCCCGGAGGATTTTGTGGTGAAGATAAGGAAGGTTGTCCATTGTACTGTGCTCCTGTCGGTCGATTCGACCCGAGTGGTTTTATGAAAGCCACTACACATGCAGAGTTCATTCAGAGTAGAATTTATTTTTTGGAATATATCTTACAAAGAGTTTTATATGAGAAATCAAAAGAACATAACCGATGTATTGACCAACTGACACTTATATTAGACATGAAACATCTAAGTTTAAAACATATGCATCCGTCTTGGATTCCTGTTTTTTCTGAATTGATGACGATAATGGAAGCAAATTATCCTGAGGTTCTACGCATTTGCTATGTGATTAATGCTCCACCAATATTTGGAACTATATTCAGCTTCATCAAACCTTTATTAAGTAAACTTACACAAGAAAAAATTCATGTAAGTACCACATTTATTCTAAAATCTGTGATCGTTCTCACCACCCGTTTAAGTAATTAACGCGTTTTGACTGGCTTTGTTGCCTATTTTAATTAGAAAGTTATCTAGGGTTGCACTGAGGATTATTGTTAAACCCTAACATATAAGGATCACAGTGTATAGCACCATAAATTACAACAACGCATAAACTAACTTTTTGTGCACGATTTCAATTTGTTTTTCTAATACGGGGAAATCTGTAGTATACATGTAATTAATGAAATGTAAGTGGCACAAATACACAACGAATAATGGTGGATCAGAGTAATGAGATATTTAGTGCTTTTATTGTGACAAGAAATGGATCTGTGCTGATAAAGTCGGTTTTCAGCCGTATTATCTCAAATATTAACAGGGATTGTTCTATATGTGCTTAAGTTAGGGTCTCGGTTTGTTTTCTCTTCCTTGGGATAATCATTTCAATGACCTTAGGAATTCTATTCCAGCTTTGAACGCCATTATAAATTTAAAGGTAGACGTATGTTCTACACCCTCAAATTCATTCAGCCAGTATACGTTCAGTTTACATTTTGCGTTTTATTAAAAACACTAATACAGTTTTCCATTTATTTTATTGTACAGCTTTTAAGGCCGGCCCACTAGGCAGGGTAATTGAGCATTGACTATAATTTCAAGTGGCTGTGAAAAACAAATAGTTTTGCATGATGATTAGCTTACAAACACGAAGTTTCGGTGGGATTACTACAGCTCGAGACTAGATAGCTTGAGTTATGGCAATATTCGTTAATCATTCAGACAACGAATTTCACAAACTCACAGTCACACTGCAAAATTTGATGACCTGGACATGCTATTAAGTTGAAAGTAGAGACTGAATATTTTGAATACCAAAATCTGTCTCTCCTTATTTCAATCCCTAGCATTGGGAATTTCAGATCCATTACAATGAAAGTCATATTACACATACCACCAACCCACTAATCTGGGAACTTTAATCACACTGACTTATGCCCAATGACTAGAGAACACTAATCTACGTAAAAACTACCCAGTTTCACCATTCTTATTAAGCATGATCATCTATGACACTGTGGAAACAATTTTGAAAAGTGTTTTTATCCAAGTCTCTCAATGAAAAAAGACCTCTGTATCTAGAATGCAGATGTTCAGTCGAAATAATTCCGTTTAGGTATTTTACTTTTAACAGCGAACCTACAGGTTCTAACCCCATTCGATCTATATTTTTGGCATGTGACCGCTCAAAACCGAGCATCCAAATATTTTTTCACTCGTAATTTATTTTCTCGATTGGATATGTGCACTTGTTTTGATTTTCCTTTCGGTACAGTTAAAGAGAGAAACTCTAGCCTTTTGTCTAATTATGGGTCTTTTCTTTGAACTGTCAAAATTTAGATGTCTCAGGGAACACGCTTCTGGTCTACTGCTTTTTTGTTCACTGCGGTTTCGGTGTTTAAGGTTGCCACCTTTTTTAGTAAACCAGCCAAACAATGTTTAACACTACTATTTTCAAATTCACGCATACAACAATTGTTAAGTTGTCTATAATTTATCGTTCCTAGGTATTAAAATCGGACTACCGACCTACTTTATTGAAAGTAATCGACCCAAGTAAATTACCAGCCTGTTATGGTGGCAAAATAACTGACCCTGATGGTGATCCTCAGTGTCCTTCAAGAATATCATGGGCCGGTCCTGTTCCTGCCTCTCTGTTTCGTAAAAAGCTATCAGACGATAAGCCATCTGTATTTAAACAGTCTGGAATATCTGAAGAAGTGAAACGTTTTACAGATTGTGGTCGAGATTTGACCATGGTTGAAGTTGGTCCTGCTTCACGTAAAGATATTTCTATTGGAACGGTTGCTGAAGGTGGTGAAATTAAATGGTGGATTTCATGCGAAACACATGACATTGCAGTTGGTTTGTTAATGAAAAATTGTACCTCAAATAATGAAGAAATTACAAGTGACTCAAACACAACTCAAGAAACATATATCGAAGTGATCCCGATGAAACGCATATCATCACATGAAAAAATTGTTCAAGGAACTCTCAGTGTTGAAGAATCAGGTGTATACTTCCTTGCTTTAGATAATACCTACAGTTGGACAAAATCAAAGCGATTATGGTATCATTTAAGTGTGAGTTTTTGTTCTTATTTGAATCGATTACTTGATGGTTGATCCAAACTACAGCTCTAATTCAAGTTCCAGATTTTTGGGTTCAGTAGCTAGTTATCTCAGGTTCTAAAAAGCGGTTTCTTAAAGCCGGACAAGTTAGAAACTGTTCAGAAATATTAACCTATTTCATTGAAGTTTAAACAAAAGACATCGGTTCATTCTACCAATAAATTATAATCTTAGAGAAATTCATAGTCTCTTAAATACTTTTAGTTATAATGGAAATTTTCACCCTTCATAGTTAGGTCGACTGTTTTTCTCCACATTCGAACCACATTTTTTTTAAATCAGTGGCAACATTATTACCATAAAGTCATACTTTTCCCGGTAATCATGAAGAATGATGATTACAAATATAGTCAAGTTACCATCACCATTTCAAACATACACATAAGGTTCGACAACAGTAACTCTCTGGTTTCTCTTGAATCCGTCTTATTCATTTTTTACAAAGCTTTGATAACCGTCAGTTAATGGTTTAGAGTTTGACAATGTCTATGAAGTTACATGGGATTTGATTGGTCGTATAGGGTAACTTGATTGTATGGAGACTAAACAAGGTCGATAACCGTTTTCTAATGATATTATATATGAAACTAATCACGAAGCGATCTAAATCAGATAACTATTGGAAACCTGGAACCATTGGATAGCTCTTTTGTCCTAGTATTGGAGTTGTATTTAGAAAATGTAACTCGTGGAGTTCAGCCGCGTGGAATGCGAGGAAGTTACCCACCGACGACAATGGATAATGATAGCATGATATCATGGATTGATTGAAATTATACATGTATGCCACTAAATGGCGAATCAGTGGTTTAAAGGTTTAGCGTTCGCGCATGATACAGACGGTCCTGGGTCCTATCCTTGGACTCACGCGGTCGTGGATGAGCTCTGCCAACGGGTTCTATATTAGGACGAAACAACCGTCCAGTGCTTTCGGGTTTTCAATGGTTATTTAACTTGAATCGGTTTATGGTTTCAATGAAATTCAGCCATTTCGATAACCCTGTACTCTCATACTAACTGTTAAGCATCCATCGCTTCCAGGTCGTAAGGACCAACAATAATCTATCTTCCTTTTCAGGTCCCTCAAGAAACACCCTTTCACGGTGTGAGAAGCCGGGAAGTGACAACCGCCCTCAACCCGTAGTAGCACACGAGACCAAACTGGTCACAGTCAAATCACAGAGGGATCAATTTAACTAATATAGTTTCTAAATTGTTAGCCTCACTTATCCTTAGACGCCTAACTAGAGCTCGTGAAGAGCAGACTAGAGAAAACCAGGTTGGTTTCGGAGCTGAACGTAGCTGTAGAGACCACATTTTCACTCTACGGCAGCTCCTGGAACAAAGACACGCATTTAAGCGTCCTACAAGAGTTGTTTTCCTGAACCTTAGGGCGGCATTCGACTCAGTGGATCGTGAGGTTCTGTGGCAGTGTCTGTCATTGAGAGGTGTACCAAAGAAGTACATTAGCCTTATACAAGCTCTGTACTCGAACACCATTGGTCGAGTGAGAGCTTATGGCGGACTGTCACGGGAATTCTTCACTTCAAGTGGTGTCCATCAGGGATGTCCACTCTCTCCGTTCTTGTTTAATTTTATCATAGACATGCTCCTAGAAATAACCTTATCCTCGTCTGAATTTTCAGGAGTAGATCTTCTACCAGGTGGCTCTCTAAATGACTTAGAATATGCCGATGACATAGTCCTACTTGGTGAAGACGCTGACAAAATGCAGAGTCTTCTGACCACCCTATGCAACAATGCAAGCACGTTCGGGATGCGATTCTCCACGTCGAAATGCAAAATGCTGCTTCAAGATTGGGTTGCTTCGGCACCTGAACTAGTGATAGGGAGTGAAGTAGTCGAACGTGTAGACCGCTTCACTTATCTTGGGAGTCTAATCAGTGCTGATGGCCTGGTGTATGACGAAATCTCAACACGATTGGCTTTTGCTAACTTGCGTTACTTATCCGTTTGCTAACTAAAGGACAAATGTACGGTGCAGTAGTTCGCTCCGTCCTACTATATGGCTGTGAAACATGGCCAGTGAGAGTAGAAGATATTCGTAGGTTACTGGTTTTCGTTCATAGGTGTTATTAGAACTGTTCTCATTATTGTTCATTTCTTTAAATAGACTTATAGCGATCGATTTTTTATGCATTTACTCAGTCAGTCAGTCAGATGCAACGTAGAACTTTGTACGTAAGTACATCAGTTCATGTTGCCATACCTTATCAGCACAGAGATATAATTGTCAATTCAAATCCAACAGTGGAAGAGGTAGTAAAGGTATCAGAAGTAATTGGAGAGGTTAGGATTAGAAGATATTCAAGAAATATAATTCAGTGAGAAAAGTTTAGAGAGTCGAAACTAGAGGGGTTGAAGAATCCAGAAGATTAGCATTTGAGAGAACACAGAGCATAAATGCACCGGCGCCATTGCGAACGATTTTGAGCCATGTCATTCAAGGTCTCTAACCATCGATTATTATCATCTCGCGGACCCCAGCCAGGTAGTCGACAACTACCGACATGACTCAGTCCACTCGTCAATGACTTCATGGATTCGTGCCATGTTTTGGTTTGGCCGCCCCTAACTTTCTTCCAACCTATTCCTACACTACGAAACAAAGCTCGTCGAGGCAGTCGGTGGTTAGGCATACGCAGCACATGTCCCAACCACCTCAACTGATGAAGTTTCATTACTTCATCTATTGATCTGCCATCCTTACCTAGCACCCGTTTCCTAATAACAGCGTTGCTCACTCGGGTGTCCCACGATATACGAGCAATGCTTCGAAGACACCTATGATCGAAAACCAGTAACCTACGAATATCTTCTACTCTCACTGGCCATGTTTCACAGCCATAAAGTAAGACGGAGCGAACTACTGCGCAGTACACTCGTCCTTTAGTCAGCAAACAGATATCTCGTCTACGCCATAAGTGACGCAAGTTTGTAAAAGCCAATCGAGCCTTCTGTATCCGAGCTGAGATTTCGTCATACACCAGGCCATCAGCACTGATGGGACTCCCGAAATAAGTGAAGCGGTCAACACGTTCGACTGCTTCACTCCCTATCACTAGTTCAGGTGCCGATGCGACCCAGTCTTGAAGCAGCATTTTGCATTTCGACGTGGAGAATCGCATCCCGAACGTGCTTGCATTGTTGCATAGGGTGGTCAGAAGACTCTGCATTTTGTCAGCGTCTTCACCAAGTAGGACTATGTCATCGGCATATTCTAAGTCATTTAGAGAGCCACCTGGTAGAAGATCTACTCCTGAAAATTCAGACGAGGATAAGGTTATTTCTAGGAGCATGTCTATGATAAAATTAAACAAGAACGGAGAGAGTGGACATCCCTGATGGACACCACTTGAAGTGAAGAATTCCCGTGACAGTCCGCCATAAGCTCTCACTCGACCAATGGTGTTCGAGTACAGAGCTTGTATAAGGCTAATGTACTTCTTTGGTACACCTCTCAATGACAGACACTGCCACAGAACCTCACGATCCACTGAGTCGAATGCCGCCCTAAGGTTCAGGAAAACAACTCTTGTAGGACGCTTAAATGCGTGTCTGTGTTGTGCATTTTCTCAAGTTGATCTGATTCATTTTACTGATCAACTAGGCTTGCTTTTTACATATAATTGTTCAAAAACGCCGGTAATTTCTCTTTGTGGTTAGTTAACACCTCCCATTATTTACAACTATTATGTATTGTTGCTTGTTATTGTTATTATTGTTACTTTATGCTCTAGTCTTGTATCCAACCAAAGATCATAACTAGGTTTTCCTATGTTTTTATGATGTAATTCTCACTGTCTTTCTTTAATTTTTTATGATTCTCTGTGCATATTGTGTAGGTTACTGGCAGTGCAAATGATAATAAAAATAAATATACAATACCAATGTATTTATCAACAGAATCTTTAAATTTCGATCAGAAACAACTCAATGATACAGCTATTAGTGACATGACTGTGATACCGATTCCAGAAGAAAATTATTATGCTTGTCGTATGGAGACTGGTGGAAGTATGGATCTAAATGTTAGTATTTTATTCCGATTTCTTGTACAGATACTTATTCTACCAAAAATTAAACATCGTCCTAATTATTAAGTTGATGAAGTCAATAAACAATTGCAGTCAGATTAACATGTATGGGATGTAGCGAGAGAAAAAATCCAGCCTCATGAAATGATCACAACTAATTGGTCAAGTCATCGAGCCACTACTATTTAAAAGTCTTTCAGTATTCTGTAATTATTTATGTTGTTCAACTTCTGAACAAACATGTGAAAAAAACAAGGAAATGATTCAGTGTGTTTGATATTGTTTTCTGATACACTTGAACTGCTCACTTTTCGATCTTCCTCTTTTGTATTATGTCCTTTCCTAAATTAAAAATGAATAATCACATATCTCTATTCCTAAAGGGGTGTATTGTACTATTAATATTCCATAATGTATCTATATTTCTTAAATCAGGGAAACTTTGGTGACAGGTGAAAAATGATTGAAACAATAAAAAATGGTTTTTGAAAATAAAAATTAAAATGTGCCTTTTCCTTTTCAAGCTTTTGAATTACAGTGCCTGTTAAACTATACTTCTAATTACTGAAAAAATGCATCACTGGTACAAGAGCTTTTTACTCTCTTCCATTCGCTTTTTTTTTTTCTTGTTAATATCTGACAGCTGAAGTTTTGTTACTAAAAAAAAAAATTATTCATTCAATAATTTCTGTATTTTGTTTAATAATTTTTTTTTCATTAAATTTTATGTGAATACTTAGTTTAAAGTAAAGTGACTAATATGAGTTAGTGGATTTTTAATGAATTCACTGGGTTGTATACATTTTTGTGATCATTGGAAAATGAAGATTTAAGCAAAGAACCAGTCCAAAATTGAGCGCGAATATTGACTAAGTGTTTCATCTTAGCTTTGTTGCATATTTAACACAGTAATTGTTGTCATGTTTCTAGAAAGTGAATGGTCTAATGGTTGGGACATCTAACTTTCAACGGTTATTTTGCAAGTTTTTCGTTTCAATCCCATATTTTGGTTTGAATAATCAAATAGTAAAGTAATGCTTTTTAATGTTAATAACACAGACCTGTACTTGATTATTGAGTTGTGAAAAATTTAATTAAGTCTTTTCAAATTAACTTTAAAACTCAGTTTTCAAGTTGAAAATATGAGCACTTGCTTAAGTAAGAGGATCTCGATTGTATGAGTTTTATAAAAATTAGGAAACAAAACCCAATGGGATACTACCTGTTCTCAATCTCAGACAATCCCATATCTTCCAACCTGTTTGATGGGATATTAACAAAACTGACCATTTTCTAGTGGTTATAGTACTACTTTTAGGTCTCATTCTTTGACTACATAAAATTTTTGGCTTACGGACAGTTAGCATAAATTGCGACTTGGACGACCTACTTTTTTACATCCCTAACACCCATCAACACAGACGAATCTACAAGTATGTTGCAGAAAAATCACCCTGGTTGGAGTTACATCCCGTTGATCTGGTCGAACCTACTTTCTTTTAAATGACCTAAATACCTTTACTCTGTTTATTTTTACTATTTGAACTTGGAATGGTTAAATTTGTTTACATATTTATTTTACGAAGAAATGGTTTTCCTAGAGTGATGAAAAGTCAGAATTTAACTTTTCATCCTTATTGGAATGTTATAAACATATCATTATATAAGTAGCGTGAGAACTATATTAGCGTTGGGTCATGCAGCATTTAGGTGTAGGCATGGAGTAATTAAGAATATATGTAATGAGGCTAAGCTAGCCTTCACACTACTTATGAAAGACTATTAGCGTCTGATGGCCGTACCTGCTCAAGGTGATTGCTTTCGTTCAGTAAGCAAAGAAAATTTATTCAGGTAACTCCTACATCACTATTGTACGGATACTCAGATTTGCTGGCTGTATCAGATATGCTCAAAGTCCACGGTTTATCGAACTATCTCGGTGACGTTCTACTCTAAGGATATCGTTATCTACACTTCCTACGAATGCACTGCTAAACTACTAACTTCAGAAGCAGTATTTGCTATTGAAGAGGCCAATTTTTTGGTAGTAGTGTTCAAACGATGTCTTATTCACTAGAACCTTGCTACATATACTTTGTTCCAGGTAGTTTTAAGTACATCAGTAACCTTTACATAATCGTGTAACTCAGAACTTAGTACATAATTCTGCACTTTACTCCTGAGTTTCACTAATGACTGATCAATGGAATGGTAATTTATCTTGGTGTAGGATCAAAAAGCGCATAACTATTTTTTTAAGAATGTTTGAGCCTGTCCAAAGAGATGTGCTTTTTAAAAAAAATCTAATTTCATTTGTATGACTACCTCATTATTTCCTTGAGAGAAAATAACTTATTTTGTTGTAAACTAATTACTGGAGAAAATATTCGATGGTCAGCTTGTTATACTTTTCAAAAAAGCAAGTCGGGTAGGGGTTGATCTACTTAGAATTTTAGATGATAGTTTTTGATGATACGAGTAATCCTGATTCAGTGAAATTTTCCATTCAGTTTCATATCTATCATTTTCGCTTACCAAATCATCATAAAGCTTGTTGTGGTGTTGAATTATTATGGTTTAAAAGTTCCTTTCTTAATTCAATTTACTCATAAGTTATTTTATTGAAATAGCTATTCAATAGCAAGCCCAATGTTTCACAGAATTTAATTATTCAAGTAGTAAGCAGTTTTAGACTTTAAACTATAATTTGTATAGCTTCTATGAATGATGAAAATAAAATGTATTGTAGAAATTGTTCAGTTTTCATCGAGATATGACATTAGTTGATTAACTATTGGAAAAAAGAGATCGAACCTATGACTTTTAGATGTCATACCAATTGTGCTACCTTTAGAGCACTGTTTCGATGTCATAATGGTCCAGGTTTCCAAATTTAGTCAGTTCGCCGCAACACCACACAGTAAGCATTAATTTCTATTGGTAGCATCTTTCTAACTCAAAACAGTACCTGTCAATAGAACTTCCAGAATCCATTTCTCGAATCCAGACACTAGTGATCACATGATTATTATCAATATTATTACATAATGTTTTCAGAATTTGTTCATTTTGAATTTGATCTCCACTACAAACCAACATTAAATTAAGTACCATTAGAACTTAATAAGTATTTGATCTACATCTTTCCTGTCATAAACACTCTGGGATTCATTGAGCAAGTAATTTTTTGATTCCTAGTATTCAAAGAAAAAAAACCCAGATCATTCATTAGGTGAATACTTTGCAATATACTTTTTGATTTATGATAAACAATTTATAGCCTTGTTAAATATAATCTACTGTTTAATTCATATTTTCTATATGGTGTTTAAGAAATAGTTTTGTTATTTGTCAGCGGGTATCATTTATCATGTAAATCAATCTGATCTCGTAAATAAATACAATACGGGTTGTGGTAGATACATTAGTCTACTTTTCATAGTTTTATTTCTATTATTTACATTTACTATTCAATGAATTCTTAAAAAAAAAATCATTTTTACTAAAACATTTGTCAAGAATTTAAAAGCTAGTTACTTTTATAGCATAAATATGTTCATAATGAACTGTATTCTTTATTTTATATTGATGAATCGTGTTCTATCAATAAACCGTTGACAAATTTTTTAAGCTGACAGTTGATTTATATCTTGGTGTCTATTTTTCATTTTTCAATTGTTTCTAGAGTAGACAGACACGCGAGAATAATTGAAATTTCTTAAGATTCATGTGAAATGTGGCGAGATATTCCTTTTTCATTGTTGTATCAGGTCTTATATATACTTTTATGCATAGTTTTGTTTGATGCAAATATTATTTTTTTTCTCTAAAGAATATATGAAGCATGTTATTGGTATTATTCAATTCATTGTTTAAATAATAAGAACTAAATTCAATATTCAACATTTTACTATCAATAACATTGCTACAGTTTATCTAGGTAGAAAATATTTCTATTTTCTCAATAACTAGAATTTGCATAACTTATTTCAGTTAAACATCCTTTTGAAATGTGAAAAAAATACTTCGGACAGGTTTCATCTGTGTACAGATATCCCGTTAGCTATGCTTACTTACCACTCGTCTCACATTTAACTTCGTTGTTGATATAATCTTATCTATATAATAATAAAAAACTATAATGTGCCATATTTAATGGAAAATATTTGAAATTCTTCATTTCTTAAACAAAACTAAGATTTTTTACGTTTAGATTATCTTTCGACTGATTAATTTTCACTAATACTGGTAAACGTTTTGACTACGTAAATTCACTACTTTTACCTTATAATGTGATGACATGTCTGTTTAGCCTATTGAAATTTAATTCATATGAATTTTTACTTCAAGCATTTTCAATGAATTACAATTTATTCAGTTAATGAAATTCTCTACAAAATGAAAATATGGTAAACACTAAAATAGTTTTTGTAAATATATATATATATATATATATATATATATATATATATATATATTTTGAAGCTCATCAGTCTGCACAAGAATTCATTAAGCAATGGGAATTAAGTTGTATGTGGTATAGAAATTTTCTGTTTCTCTGACATTTTATGCACACTAAACTAGTTAAAAACATTAAATTTCAAACTTAATTACACACACTAAATGAAACCAACGAATCGACCATCATAGCCTTTTTATATCAGATTAATTATGGAAGACAATTAAAAGTGAGCAAGCTCTTGTTCTGATTTATGGTCAATTAGTTTACGGACGCACAATGAAAACAGGAAGGTGAATTCTTTTTTCGCATTTCTTTGCAGATCTCGTAGGTAATTAACAATTTAGCTGCTCATCACATGCTAAATAGAAAAAGTGATGCCGGAATGTTAAAATCATTCGAAATATTAAAAATATAAATTATGCCAAGAGATATCTCTCTTCACTTGGTTCTTCATTGAGTTTCTGTCTATACTAATATATATGTTTCTAAATTCAATATAAAATCAATACCAAAGAAATAGCGCTAAATCAATGTAATAGAGTAACTTAATATTTTTTTATGAGGATATAGTAATCACTTATCAATAACTCACTAAATAAACAATAGAATTCATGAAACGGATGCAAACGAGCTTAGGTTATTAAGTGAGTAAGATTGATCACGTAAGAATAACATTCCATGTTGAAGTAGAATGTAATTAAAAGGCTATTTATTAAAAGAGAACATGAAATCAACTAAGCTGAATTTATATCGACATGATAACTAGCATCAACTAAATGTGCAAAAATAAAGCTTCTTGTTTCATTTTGTCTTTTGATCAACTATGCAAAACGATGTTCAAAAATCCCATCATGTAAATGCCTGGTTTTAATCAGTTCTAGCTGATTGCTTTTCTTTTAATATGTTTCTGTTAAACGCTTCAACTGTAATCAGATCGATATCTCTATTTGTTTTTCATGTTTAGAGGATCAAATTGTTTTTTCTTAGCAGAATAATATTTCACCTAACCAAACAGTTGCATTTACAATGTTCTTTGTTAGCTTGTTATACTAACATGCCTATATGAAATTAATTGAATAATCAACCTTTCAAACTACTGTTTATGCTAACCTCTTACCTGCATTGTTAGTCAGCTCACAATTGTATCAGATAAACATGCGCCATCTACTCAGCATAATCTTAACCATTTTCAACTAATCAGTCATAGCCACATTATAGTTTCATTTACGTCAATCTTTCATTACTTTGATGATATTCTGTTGTATCACGTGTTTTTATCCCCGATTTCCTGAGATCTAATATAAAG